ACTAAATCTATATAATTATAGATTTAATTTTTTTTGCACTAAGAAGAAGAAAGGTCAGGCAAGAATGTACAGACTTACTCTCGCCTTCCTCGGCCTTTCACCAGCCAAGCAATGAATTCCTTGGCAGCTTGGCCTTCCAAATAAGAACTCACATCACTAGTGAAGGTCCCTTCAGCATGCCTCTCAAATTCATCATGACGTTTGGCAATTTCATTCCTGAAAGAAATGTGAAAGTGAAAGTGAAGTTCTGCCTCTTGGGCGTTTGGTTCTCTCTGATAACCAGTGGCAACCTGGGGATTAGAATATAATGTAGCAGGGGCTTAAGAAGTGTGGGAGATGAAGGTAATCAGGGGGCTCATTTTGAAGTTATGTTAATAATTGGGATTAAAGAGTGGTGGGAGACTAATAATGAGTGCTTTAGAATTTAGTACTCTGCCTCTTTCCTTCCCAGCGTTCCATTTGCTCCTGTCATGCTTCCCTGTGCCACTGGGTTTGAAAGCTACATTACTTTTCCATTGATCTCATTAGATGAAAATGTGGACTTCTATTTTCTTCTACTCACCTGTCAGGTAGTTTGTTACTAGGATTTATGAGCATGGGATTAATTGATACAAGGGAAAGCAAAGGACAAGGTAGAAATTTCATCAAAAATCCCACGTGACAATCCCACGTGACAATGCATAAATGAAAATGTATGATTTTCCAGGAGGACAGCAAAGAAGATCATCCCATCTCAGCTCCAAGAGCATGCAGGGCACTTGGGAGGCGGCGCCAGCCGCTGGTCGTCTCCCTGGCAGTGTTACCCTGCAAGGCTTTATCATAAACACAAAAAAAATACGTGAGTGAGGAATGTGTATATAAAGTTATCAAGTTGCAGCATTCCAGTGCTAAAAATTGGGAAGAGTTGTTTTTATTTTTATAAATTTGTGATTTCTCACATTTCTCTGAGGGCCTAACTATAACCCTTGACAAGGACCTCTACCTATGTCCGGTCTGACCATGACACCATCTTTCTTGTAGTGAGACACTTAGCTTTCATAGAACTTGGGTTAGCTGCTCTGTTTCTCTTGCCTGCTCCTGCTCTTTCTTAGGCATGCATTTCCTCTTTTTTCCTTCTGCATTCTATCCAGACAAGTCTATGTCCTTTTCCTGATTTTTAGATTCCTTCAGCTACTTTGTATGCATAACTCCTTTCTTCTTGTGGGCCACCCTCCAAAGAAATTGTGAATTTCCACCATCTCTGTGAAACCCTTGTGGATAATTTTCTCTAGTAGCCTAGAAGCAGCAAACCCCCAACACTCGTCAAAGAAGATCCAGCATTAAAATGTATGTGTTATGATAGGTTTGTGTTCTTATTTGCTGCCTTCTCTTTATGCTGTGCAGCTAGCTAGGCTGTAATTTTAAATGCATATCTTGAATTTTATTCTACAAGACATGGGATGCATCTATTTCCATTCCTTACTCTGATGAACTTGGCTAGGGGATAATTTTAATATCATCACAGTTATGGATCTGAACCCCACAAAGAGTGTTGAATTTGCTGTATGTTTTAGTTAGAAATTTGATTCCTAACCTTGAGGTTCCACAGAACTCAGTGTTCAGTTTTAAGGAAAAATGGATGAAGATAAATATTTCTCAGACCATATTTGGGAATATAGTTTGGAATATAAAGTCTGTGTCACACCGGAGTGTGTGTAAGGGGTTTGGAGTGTTGAAAGGTAAAGGTATATGGAGAGATAGTATGAAAGACCACATCTCCAACCCTGGAAATTGCCGAAGACTTTAAAGTTTTAAGAAAGGTAAAATTTTTAAACATACTTAATAAATTTTGTACACTTTTTGGACCATGTTCAAATCCTTACCTGTTCCTCTTGGTGTTCTTCAGCCAATCCAAGAAGTCTTGAGCACGCCTGGTGTCGAGGAACTTGCTGTAGTCACTGGTGAATGTACCCTGTGAATGACGCTTGTCTTCATTCATCTGATCCGGATCATCAAGCAAGTCTGTTTGAGAAGTTGAGAAAGACCTGCAGAAAACAGTGATCAGTACAATGGAAATCTCTCCATGACTAGACTTATTTAAGATACTTCACTGCAAAATATAGGATCTGGTGGAGCAGTGAGACAGGTATTTCGGTCGGCAGTTTAGAAAAACCTGAGCTACTCATGGAAATCTTAAGGCTTTTGTATAGTTGAATATACTCTCACTCTGAATTCTAGCAATAGGTTTCTTGCTTGGCTTCATTTTTTTCTGAAATAAGATTAAATATTCCTCAACTAATTAATCTACTCATGAATATGCCAATAATGACTGAAGAGAACAGTGACTTGAATATGTTAAAAGAGTAATGAATCTCAAGCCGTTTCACATGGTTATCTACTGTTAAAAACCTACATGCAGATAACTGAAAAATGCGGGGAGTAATGTACAGAAAATGTTATTTCATGTAGGAAAATTTGAAGGTCTCTTAAATGTTCTGTAGAAGACGAATATCTAGATAAGTATCGTACATGTATGAGATGAAATAGTATGCAACTGGTAAATACATATTTAATATATATCCTAATGATATGAGAAAAAGCTAACAGCATAAGAGAAAAAGCATGATACAAGGCCATATAACATGTGGAGAGATTTTATACACAATAGAGTAAAATTCAGGAAGACAACACATCGTTTTCAAAACAGGATAATTTTCTTTGGATATTTTGAGTAGTTACTTCTTTCTATGTTTTTCATATTTTACATCATGAACACTTAGGAGTTTTATACTTAGCAAGGAACAATGTTATTTTTAAAAAGGAATGAAAAGGAGAAAATAGAATAATTAAAATAATCCGTGAATGTGTGAGTTGTGAATGGACAGGTAGGACATTGTACAGAGATACAATTTTCCATGTAACATGCTTTTCAGCATTGCCCACTACCCCTTTGAATTCTGAAATGACACATGCCCTGGTTTATATTCCTGAAAAGCTTGATTTTATCACAGGCATGCTTTAAACATTTGAAAATTGTGCAGCGTATTCCTTCCGTATCACCGAGACCCTAATCCACGGTCATGATTCTCATCGACTATTCTAATCAGAAGGCTTTGTTAGTCTAAGTCTGGGTCTAGTACCTGGGTTTTTCCTCTGTGTCTTGAAGCGGGTGTTGCCAGCTGCCTTGTACCAGCATTACAAACAATCCAGCCACAAAGTAAATGCTCTTCATTTCTGCTGCCTGCCAAAACACAGTGAGGGTTGGGGAGGACAAATAACCATATTAAAACTTGTCAGAGTGAGTTTGATTTTAAGTAGGCAAATATTACAAAAAAAAATTCATCTTTTCAATTCTATTATGATTGTATTTTCAACTTAATTTCAAACCGTAGATTATATTTTCCCCAGACTTTTTGAAGGCAAAAGCGACCACAAAAGATGCCTTGCACCATTAAGCTCTTTTATTAATGTAGGATACTTCTGTTAATGATTACAAGGCACATTTCCAGGCTTGAAATAAAAAATGTCCACAATGAACATTTAAAATATCCACTGTAGATGATATGCTACATATGGTTAGCCTGAATGGCACCTTATCCGTAACACCACCCCCTTCGCTATCAGTCTGGCTTTCAATTAATAGTCCTTCACTTCCAAGCGTTTACATTATACTGCATTTCAACCATCTTAAAGCAGCCTCAGGCTACAACTTGGCATACCAGCTGTCGGTTCAGATGTATTATTCATTTATATTTTAAATAGTGTAACTTGGTCTAGACTTTGTAATTATAAAGCGGCCAACAGATTTGAGGTATTTTAGGGTGCTTTGACCTGTTCTAAATTAAAGGGAAAAATCATTTTAAAGACAAGCAATTTGCAGCAAGAACTAATGCTTCTGGTAACTTGAACAATCACAATTAAGAATTAAGAGACAGATATCATAAAGAAAATTAGTGCTTGTTTCTAAAGTATTGGAAGTCCCTAGATTTTTTTTTTTTACATTTGGATTTAGTCCAGGACATGGCACTTTCAGTGAGTGATACCACAGACCTGGCTTTGGGATACATCTGACTTCTTGTATTTTCAGCAAAAGCAAATGCCCCATGAAGTCATATAATACCAAAGATGTGATGGTGCAGGGTGGTTGGGTTGGGGTCCAGCACAAATGTGGGCAGAATGTCCCCATGGAGTAAGTGCCTCTATACTGAATGAATAAAACCAGAAGTTCAGTATTTGTCATGGATGCCACTTTCAGACTCTACCCTGTCTTTTTTTCTTTTCTTTTACTTTTTTTTCTTTTTGAGAAATGGGGATCTCAACCCAAGTTTCCTTATGTTTATCCATAAATAATTTGAATGAGTATTTTTAGCAAATGACATTTGGTTTGAAATAAGGATTTTGCAAATATTATCATTTTAAACTATCAATCTTTTCTTTAACATCCTAGTCATATTTACTATTTTTCTTTAGCACCAAAACACAGACACTACATACATAGCAGTACACAGTAATACCTGCAGGGGTAATTTTAATTTGCAATTTTAAGGGCTTGAAGATTAAGTAGTCACTTAGACAAAGCAACATAAAAGGAATTATAAATTTTTCCTTCTTATCCATCAACTTTATTTTTTATTTTTTGCGCTACCCAGGATCAAACCGCGGATCTTGCGCTTGCGGGGCAGGCACTTACATTGCGGAGCTATCTCCCAAGCCCTTGTCCATCAACTTTAAATGATCTAGCATCTTGTTATGCTTCTGTTTAACCAATTGACAAGTTTTAGAAACTGAATATTTAGGTAGTGCCTTTTGATTGTGATGCACAATCATACTATCTTTTAGGAATATCTGAAGATTAAACCGAGCACTACTTTTTTGAATTACACTTTTGATAAATTTCTTGTAAAAGGTTGAGAACTGTGAATTTATTTCTAAATTATTTCTTTTCCTCCAAAGTCCCTAAAAGTTTTGCAGTATCTTGGGTTATATTGAGACAGAGTAGAGCACAGTGTATTTCACTTGGAAGACAATGGGGGAAATGAACAACTAAAAAGGAGAGCTTTTTCAAAAGTCTTCTAGTACAAGCAAATGAGTTTTGCTGATAGAAATGACTTTTTCTAAATCTCATGTAATTATATTTTAGTAAATTTATTGTTTGTGTTTCATTGCTGATGAAGTAAATACTTTGTTAGCTTATGTTCGTTTAATATCACGATTTTACTCAATAAGAAAATAATTTCCTACTTTTTTCTCATTTAGTAGCCTAAGAAAAAAATGTTTTGTGAGAATTAAAAATTTTTATTTATATTTAAAAGAAAAATATGGTAATGGTATTAGTTGTTGACGTAGGAAGTCTTTTAGAAAGATTAACGTTAGACCTAGAAAAGAAGACCTTCTCTCCCTAAATATAATGGTGGTGTAAGCTACATAAATAATTTAAAAATTGGCTAGCTCATTCCATAACAGGTTATTGTATAGAGAACACACCACTTAATGTAGTACAGTATGGAGGTTCTTTGTAAATGTGCTCTTTGTCTTTAGGGACTGGAACAAATAATTTAGAACATCCAATATTTTTCTTGACAAATATACTGCAATTTCGTTCCAGAATATAGTTATGTAGTTAATTATTACTACTGGTCTTCAATAAACAGCAATTAATTATTAATTAATAGCATTACTCAGAACTATCTGAAGAAGTCCCTGGTAACCAATAATATTTCTTCTCCACACCAAATACATGATGGCTTATTCACAAAAGGCGGATTTTGTGGACACTGAGATTTGGTTAGATTTATCTGGAATTAGAGAATGTGAACGATGGTAACTTAATCTTTTATTTTGCATAGCTAGACGTTTAACAATACGGAAATGTTCTTGTTATATCTTCTATAATGGATACATTTCTGTTGAATATAAAATGCACCTTCTGTTCAGAGTAGTTACACATCTATCAAATTCAAGAAAAAATTCTCATTGTTCAGAATATTTCTACTTATTTAAACATACATCTTTCATAATGGCTGTCTTGAAACAAATCCACTGATGCGAATCTTAATTTTTCCTTCTATTTTAAATCTTTGGGTAGAATTATTACTGTGAATTTCTTTGTCGCTTCATTACATTAAAGTAGTACAAATACAGTTGATACTTTTTCATCTCAATTCCGTCCTTGTTAATAAAGAATGAAAGAACAACCCCTTAATTTGTAATCCTTAAAAATACTTCGCTGTCCCCCAAGCAGGCTTTACAATGTTCATCTCCCAGTGTGAGTCTTACCTTTTGCTCGCAGGGTGTGGTGCAGGGAGGGTGGAGCGCTGGCCAGCCTGCGGTGGACCTTCGGCTGTGCTGTGTGCCCTGGGTTCTGCACTTCGACGCCAAAGTGCTCTGCTTTTATATACCCTCCAGCTCCGGTTAGCCTCAAAGATATTATGCTGACAATATAAATTTCTCATCTGTAAATAATGGGTTTTTGTTACAAATGATTTCCCGCGCCCACTCGCCTTGCTCATCTACATTCTATGTTTAGCTGAGGAGGGACTTCAGAGACCAGGAAACTTCTTATTTACTCTTGTGTCTTTTTTTTTTTTTTTTTTTTTGGTGGTGTTGAGACTTGAAACAGCAGTTTGAAAATTCGCCATCTAACCTCTGTCAGGCATGAAAATAACGTATGTTCTCTAAAGCAAAGTTTGACTTTGAGGAGCACGGCATCATTTGAAGGGCTTAGATGTCCCTTGCTTTGCTAGTTATTCGCGATGCAGTCACCTGAATCTATTCGTCTATCCCAATGACAAATCATTTATTAAATGCATTCTTATTAGGACTCCTCTCACCACTCGTATTTGGAATTAGCTTGTTATTTTTTCAAGGAATTTTAAAGAACAATTAAGACCTAATGTATCTTGTTTTAATTAATTGAAGGTAGAATGGATAAATGAGTACTAAACATCCAAGATAGATAGATGACTCCAACAAGACAAGGTCTGGTTATTCCTTTTATTTCTACTATACATGAAAAATTCAATTTACCTGATAAGAGGGTAGAGTATGCGATTACAAAGAAGATGTGAGGAACTGTCCAGGTAAGATAAACAGTCATGCTTCTTACTGTTTGTGGTTTGTTGTGTGCCCAGATCCTTAATGATCTATGTAACTCAGCAGATATGATTCTGTTCAGATATGATTTTTAAAAAAGATAAAAATTGAGAAATAATTTGGACTTATTGTATGAGAGCTCTTGTTAGCCAAATTAGATTTACTTCTGCCTCTGTGTCCAAGCTGCATGACCTTGGTCATGTCACATGTTCTCTTTGACCCTGTGCTACTAATTATAAGACTCAAGGCCTGGTTCAATGTTCCATTTAAAATACAATTTCATTCCATATCACAAAACCATTTTTTTCCTATCAAGATTCCAGCATTCTAACATAGTCACTGCATGGTTAGGACATATGTGGAAGTAGATTGTTGAGATAACTACAGAAATATTCCAAATGAAGTTAAACTCTTTAATTTGTGAGTTACAGCAAATACTAGATGTAGTTTCATAATGGCTACTGACATCTGATTGATGTCAGGCCAGAAGGTCTCACAGGGATTTTTGTGCTAGTCATTGTTGATGGTAGAAAAATATTCAAAGTGTGGTTGAAGGTCCAGCATGACCTGGGAGCTTGTTACATTTTCAGAATCTCATGTCACAGCCAAAAGTTACTGAAATAGAAGCTAGATATTAGTAAGATCTCCGAAAATGCATTTTCGTAGTAAAGTTGGAGAATCATAGCTCCTTGAAGCTTCGGCTTCTTCTCTCCAGTGCTACTGGAGTCTTGATCTGAAGGCTGCTTCTTGGCATCACCAGCAGAGGGGGTGAGAGAGCAAAGAAAGGTGTGAAGCCTGAGGTCCCTTGGAGTAACCCCAAAGCAGTAATACAGGCTTGAAGGTGTGGATTGGCTTAATACAATTGTGTTTTTCATAATCATAGTAAATATATTTATTAAATTGTTTTTACAGATTCAATTCTTGGCCTATTCCTAGATATACCTCAGGTCTGTTAGGGAAACCACTATGGAGACCAGTCAAGCTTTTGAGATGAATTTATGGTTCATTTCTAAATTCTTGGGGGTAATCTCAATGTGCTGTGGTCTTTTTAGGTTAGGACACTCTCTCCAAAATAGGAGCTTTCTGAAAAGAGTTGTAAACATTCAAAAGATTAAAAAACATGAAAAAGTAAGAACAGTGTTTGAGAGAAATGTTTACATCAATTGAAATTTTTATTTAGCTTTAAAGATAAAGAGGTCATCACTTAAACAGCAAACTTTTAAAATTCATAAAGTGGAGTACAGAGAAAACGATCACTTTTTGCCCTTTACATCTCTGTGAGTGAATCGATGAGCTCAGGGATGCAGGGGCATTAAAAGAAAGACTTCCAGGGGAAGTTCTGAGTTTGCCAGAGGATGTGAGAAACACCCTTCCTGAGAGACACTCGGGAGCAGTTCATGCCCCATCCATCTGGAATGTTCTGAGGGAGGCTGCAGGGGGAGGGGAGACTTCATAATAAGATCAGTGGACAGTCTTCCTGCCCTGAGGCTCTGAGACCCTGCAGACAGCTCGCTTACAAGTCTGTGCAGGGAACCGTGTGGCAACATGGCTTTGCATTCGGTGATTTTATCTTTTGCAAGATCCTTGGTATAATGAGATGTTTAAAATTGTTCTAAGTTTCAGTTGTTATTTTTATTCCTAAAGGGAACAAGAAAGAGAAAGAAAACAAAATTATATTTGTACAAAAGAATCTTATCTCATAATTTATAAGCAGGATATATATTTATATGTATAAATACATATATATCATTGAATACATGTGTTATGCTACTATTTTTCGCATATTGTAGCTATAAAAAACAAACCATATGTCATTACATTTATCCAACCTCTTGCTCATCTGGAAAGACGTTTTCTTTAGGCTTCGAAGAGTCTTTAATGTGAACCAATTAAATCATCACAATTGTCAAAGTCTTCTGTTAAAGGAAGTTACTTCAGCCATTAGAAAATTCAAAATTTGAAATCTGAATACTAAAAGAAATGCAGAAAATGCAAAATGGAGTTATGAACATGCTTTTTCTATTCATTATGCCTTGTAATCCGACTTGCCCCCTGCCTGAAACTTGTTCAGTGTTCCCAATTCATACTCAATCAGATGATGGTTGAAATATACTGTTTTTGGTGATACTGTAATGATATAACTCTATAGTGTGATTTATAAAGACCTCTTGGCTACCACCTACTTTTAAGCTGAACTTTGATTTGTTATAATTTATGGTTTTAAAGTTTTGTTCTTTATTATTCTGCACTTTTATTTTGTAATAAATCTCCCAAATAGTTTACATCTGTGGTTGGGATCATGCCAATGGCCAGACATTCTCCATGTTGTGTTCTAATTCTGACTTTTCTTGCTGAAATGTAAATAATTTCTTTGTTGCTATGTTGTGGAAGGCAAAAAGATGAACTCTTCACGTCTGTTTTTAAAAGTCCTTTCCTCTGTGCCGGCCCCACCCCAGGGTGTGCTGAGTCAGCTACCTAGTCCGGGCATGGTGGCACACACGTGTAATCCCGACGCTGGGGAGGCTGAAAACAGGAGGATCACTATGAGTCTGAGCTACATAGTGAGACCCTGTATCAAATATGTTAAAAAAAAGTCCTTTCCTCTTCTAAAATACAATAGAATATTGCACTTTAGGAAACTCTTTTGTAGGCTTTACCAGCTTAGATTTCCGCTCCATGAACATGAACGTCAGTTCTGTAAATTAGATGACTAAAATTCTAGAAGTCAAAGGCCATGACTATCATGAAATTTTGCCGTTGTTGTTTTGTTTTTTACACTTTATTCTCCAAAACTACTAAGCAAAATGCACAGCAGAAAAAAAATAACTCTTTGCAATAAGTATTGTAAAATTTGCCATGATTTATTAAGCATTCACTTGTATCTAATGTGTTTTATGGACAGTTTGTCCTAAATGAATGTATCACTTAGAAACATTGATAATGATGCAAAGAATTAAATATAGAATGTAAGTTAGAGCTGTATTTGGCTAAACTCCTATGTAAAAGTACAATAATCATTCATTCCACTGGTTGGTTGTTAACATCAATCAGCACATTATTTGATTATTGTTTTCATTTTTCATCTGAATTCATGTAGAGGTTTGATTGTAAGCCACAGATTTTACATACAACAGTGAATGAAATAGAAAATATTTCTATTACTTAAGGTCAGATATTTTTTTTCAATCCAAGGCCAAAGAGTAAGCCCTCTGAAAATAGAAGTAGCTAGCATTTATTCCAGGCAAAATTTTCTAAGCATCTCAGGATTTGCTCTGACAGCTATCTAAATCTGTCAGATAGTTAGATAGCAAACAATTGGCAAATGACATGATTTTAGATTAGTTTTTTAAGTGTATGATTTTGTGATTTCTAGTAAATTGAAGCAGTATCCATTTGTGATGATGTCCTTTACTTGGCGTTGTATTTTCAAGGTTCATCCATCCTCAACTGGAGCCAGTAGTCATGGCTTTTTATGAATGAACAGTATTCCATTATGTGCATGTATGATACTGAATTTTCTCATTAATCAGCTGGTAGACACTTGGGATGTTTCCACTTTTCAGCCATTGTGAGTAATGCTACTGTGCACATCTATGTATGAATTTTGTCTGGTCTATATATTTAATGACCTAGGTAAATACCTTGAAGCAGCATTCCTGGATTATATGCTAACACTGTGTTTGACTTTCTGAGAAACTGCCAGCTCCTTTCTAAAGTGATAATGAAGATTTCAGTTTTTGAGAAGCAGAGACATTGCATGAGTCCTGGATATGCTGCACGACTGACTTTTCCTCTTTTCAACAGCAGCAGTTTCCATAGAGGTCATTAAAAGGAAATAGGAGCGAGAGCCCAGGAACAGGCAAGGAAGTTCTTGGCACAGAGGAGGTCTTATTGTTTTCTCCAGGCTGATGTGAAGACAGACTTGGAGAGACAGTCGGGAGAAGCATGAGGCTGGGCGATGGAGAAAGTGGCTTTGGAGGGGCTGCTCTGCCCAGTGCAGCAGGTTGAGAAGCCGGAGGAGTAGAAGGCAGAGGCCAGGAAGGGAGGGGATCATCTGTGAGACTTCAGTGTTTTGAGTGCTCACAGGATGTAAGTTAGGAACCCTGAAGTTGAATTCTGTAGGTCTCTCTCTGTTTTGTAGAGATAGGCATGGTGGTGTGAGTGGCAACTGGTAAAATAAGATAATTTAAAATTTAATTTTGGCTTTCATTGCGAATAAAAATACTCCCTCTATTGGCAGTAGGAATGGATCAAAATAGATAATTCT